AAACTTGAATTGAAAAACGTATTCCTCAAAGAAATACTAGATAGTGTGTCAATTTTCAAGAAATTATTAATTAGAATGGACTTCCACAGACTGTCCACAAAGCGGAATAAATCATTTCGTTTGTACTTACTTGCATTAGGTGGAATGTTAAATTAAACATATTTTAATATAATATTTCTACCAAATCTAATTATAAACGCGTTTAACGCGTAACGGTAACGGAATACCTGACTAATCTACTTAACTATACTTAATTACTTACAAAATCGTGAAGTGCCCAATTGCATGAATGCACAGTCAAAACTACAAAGACTTTATAACTGAATGTATTATTTTATAACCTATTCAAGACATCTTTATAAAATTTAAACTGTACTCTCCCTCCATAAGCTTCTCATTATTTTTTTTAAAACCGTAATAAACACACAACCAACAACAAGAAACATTTTTTTGATGGTGGATTTCTATATTGGATATCAACACTGGAATTAATCCTTTCCAAAAAGTATCTCTTATTTCTTTATTGGTTAATTTTACATGTCAAAATACTGAAAGCTTTAATTTGGTGGAACATTGGTTTAAAAATAAAATCCAATTATGAAAATATGAATATGCATAATTTTTTTTACCAAAAACATAGTAACACTTGCGAATTATCTCTATATTATAGTCATATGACTCATAAATATGAACAATAGTTATTATATTTAATATTGTTTATAGTTTATTTATAGGTAGGTAACCTATAAATAAACTGTAAACAATATATGTAAAATTAAATTAGTAATAAAATTTACCCGCTTTTTGAACTTTTCAATTAATAAGTATATAATTAATGTCTGCAAGAACATACATTGAAATCTTTATATTATATTATCTAATTAAGAAATAAAAAAAATATTTGAGATCTTAAATTTCTTTAAGATTTTATTTTGAAGTAGAAGAAACAAGTGCGGGATTCAAAGTCCAGTTTCGATGTTCTACTACGCTGTTAGCAATTTGTATAAATATACCTAATGCGGAAAAAGTCGTGTCTGGATTAAGTTGCGCGTCGTACATTATGAGAACATCCGCATTATATTTCACTGAGCAGCATGAATTATGTGCTGTTAGACTGTAGCGGTGTAAACTTTCTTTGAATCAGGCGATGAGAAAATCACTTAGATATACTTTGGATACTGAGTCGTTTCGTTAATTTTTTTTAACATGGGCTCTTACGTTTCGCAATTGTCAGCGATGTGACTAAATAAAAAATAAATAATCAGTCCAGAAATGAAGTATCACCCATATCATGTAAAAATATGACAAACTCGAATTCAATGTAAATATTTCTATTCTATTTAAGATAATGAATCAGGAATAACTATTATGACAAAAATTGGTATACAGCAGGTATTTGACAATTTTGCAAGATACAGTAAAATTAGATTTTAGCGACAGATTCTCCGTATCGACAGTTTAAAGTACGAGTAATTCCACTCATTCTTGTCTCAACTCGCTGCCCAATACCCCAATAGGTTGTTTTGTTGAAGCCGGATACTCTCATTGCAACAAATGTATTTTCTCGCACTGGCAAACGGCCAGTCGCCGATATTTCCCCTGGACCCATTGATAAGTTAATGCCATTCGCACACTTCAATAAGTAGTCAGCTATCGCTAAAGTTTATGTTATCTTTTCTAAATATTGTATATAATTTGTTGTTGAATTACCAGTTTAAATATATGTAGGTATAATGCACAGTAAAACAACAAAACAATCTGTAAAATAACAACTAAGTCTTTAAACTTCACTTTAATTATATATCAATGCAAACTTAAGTGTATGACTGTAATATATACATATGTAGATATATTATAAATTTACTACATGTACTAAAATAGTTGTATTTTATCCGTAAATAATATAAAAATACAATGATTGGAAGATCACAAAATGTATAGAATTGACATTTTAAACATTTGACGTGTTCATTAATATATAGTAGGTATATAACGTAGTGTGATCTTACAGCAATTTTAACGATACTTGTACTACATAGTATAAGTGCACAAGTATTGGCTATGCATATATTGTATAAGAACATGCAACATTTTGTAGGTGTATACAATAGGTAGGGTGTGATAAGGGTTATTTATAAATCTTATTGTTTTTATTGCTAATAGAATTCAAAATGCAACATTATGCGCATGAATATTTTTTTTAATTAAAATTTATATTTGTTATGTCAGTACATACTATGATAATTAATTATTCAAAAGAGTAACTAATTATTGGTGTTTATGTTGTAATTTAGAACTACAAATTTTGTTTTTTTTGTTAGAAATCTTCTTACTTTGAATAAAAACAAAATGCCTTAAGCCTGTGACACTTCACAGTTGGTGGAAAACCGCTAAGAAATCCATTTGTTCAAGTCACGGCTAAAGGTAAGTTAAGCTTGTTTCGGATTTGTTTTGTAACCTAATTGTAGTGATTTAGGTTACGCGATTGTTAGAGTAGCGGACACAAAGGAGTTCGCGATATCATCTCGGAGCGACGGTAAGCTGGAACACTGCAGGTGTATTTCTTAGAGATAAGCACATTATAATATAATAAGTTAATCTAAACCTTGAAAACATTACAAATGCTATATAGATTATAAGGCGTAATAATACAATACAAATAAATTCTCATACAAAACATAACATCTCTTACATTTCAAATTTACACTTAGAACAATGTACAACATATTTGTTATTAATTGTACTTTGATGATATACTCGTATAAACGATTATTATAACATCAGTCGTAGTTCCTACCTAAAAAACTATATTTTACTAACACAGTCTATATATAATCTCTAAAATAAATTAAGATGACTAAGGTTTAGAATTTTAATAAAAGAGTTTGATATACTATTTAAGTTTATGACCAAGGAACTGTAACATGTATCTCATTCTCATTTTTTTATCTTTTATAACATTATTGATCTGGAGAATAAATAAAATATTTATACACCCACTGCTTTTGTACGGGTATTTCTAGATATTACACAAAACCTGAACTAAAAATTGAAAAAAAAATTGTATTGTCTTTCCTCTTATGAATTTAGTTGCTTAATGCATAAATTCTACAGTGAATCGCCAGTTTTTGCAATTTTGAGTTGGGGGAACGGCACACGATAGGATAGTAACGAACTATCATCTACTATTTTATAGCCAATAGTATAATAAAATTCCATATTGTATAAGTATTTGTGAAAATTTAATTACAAGCGATAGTAAAAAATTCGGAAGTATGTATTTGCCTAAGTATATAAAATTTTGGGTACATTTGAATAAATAACAGACATTTTTAACTGTAGCCAAGTTTTAGTTTCTCAACTTTATCTTGTTTACACCATCGTGCCGCGCGTCACGAACTTCGATGTAACATAAAAATGTCGCGTGGCTGAAGAAAGTTTTGGGGCATGGATTACAGCCACTTACAATGGAAAGTACAAGAGTCATTTTCTAATTTATGGCTGGGCTGTGCCTGTAAAACATAATAAGTTTTGAACTAATTATGTTTTACACAGACGCACTTTGCCTAACTAATATACTTATGTCACTTGACAGTCGCTTAGTTTGTTTAGGTATATTCTTATTATTTTTATATTTCAACTTACATGGGTTAACAAATGTCACTTTCAATTTAAACAATAGTTAGTTCTTAGATAAGACTTCAGTTTATTTATCAGATAGAAACTGGACTGGTATTTATTATCATGTATATTATCTCCTAATTATAATTTTACTTTAAAACGTCTTTATTCAACTACCAATAAACACATTAATTGAGCATATTGACAACATACATATGATGAAGTATTTGGAATGGTTATGATCTAACATTTAATTAGTAATATAATTGAAGAACTTGTAGATGATACACAAATTATTTACCTCAAAACTCCAGTCAAAACTCGAGGCTTACGTCAGTAAAACCCATCTCTATGCTAAGACTGGTACTTTTTGCAGCTGTATTAGCCTCATCTTCAAAAGCAAATTGTGCATTGCAATTAAATCGCAAAGAGTACAACTGGACCAATTCCAGCATTGTATTAGAGTGGAGTAGACGAGGAACTGGCCTTAATGTTTGTGTAAATAAAGTGAAGAGGCTTAAAGAGTGAAGTCATGTAGATGATTGGCATCACGTTCTTTTTTTTTAAATTGAGAATCTGTTTGATGTACTCTATGCTTTAGCGTTTGCGCCTGTGGTTTACGCTCGCTTCAGCAGAGTTGAAATGAATTTGTAAAGTTATGATTTTATTAGAAGTACAATTTGGATATCATTATTGTAATATACAAAATTTAAATAAATATAATATTATTAATATAAGAGAAGATAAAGGACAAACAACAAACAAAACATTATAAAACAAAAATAGAAGAAGAAAACAAAACAACAATTAAGAACAAAATAAATAACAAAAGACAAAATAATAAAACAATGAAGATGTTGGTGGTTTTTATGATGATGGTATGAAAATGTTGATGATGATGGTATGGGAATGTTGGTGATGATGACTATGTCTGATTAAAATGTTTGAGGTTGTGAATGATGTATTTGATGTGTGATGTGAAAATGTCTATGGTTGATTGATGTTTGATGATAGATGGGAGATGAAATGGTTCTGAGACCCGAACCATGCTACAGGCCGTTTCATGGTCGAGCCTTGTGGGACCAAACCTCGGGTACTCCTTAACGAGATGCTCCATAGTTTGCGGAGCATCATCGTTCCAGGGGCATTTGTCGTCCGATGTGATCCCGAACCGTTTTAGGTATGATTTCGAGTATGAATGACCGGTGACCGGTATCACAAGCAGCAGCTCAGCATAATTGCTGCACCACTGCTTGGTATACTGGCAATTGTCTGTGGTATTGTACAAGTCCGGCTTTACTTAATTGTATGAAGTGATTTTTTATGTAACTCAGGGGGAATTTGGAGAATGAGGGGGATCAGTGGGAGTTGGCTGTTGATTAGGCCGCGAGGTCGGCCTCTTCATTGCCAGATATCCCGATGTGTGAACGGATCCAAATGAATGATATGTTGATGTTATGCAGTTTGGCTTGATGAAGTGATTTGAAGATGTTATTGCAAAGATGATTGGTGCTGTTATGATTGGACAGTTCCATCAGTGATGATTTGCTGTCCGTGAGAATGAGTGCGGGTGAGAATTTTTTAGCGATAATGATTTGACATGCTTGGTCAATGGCGGCCATCTCCGCTTGAAACACCGAGCAGACATCATGCAGTTTGAGCTTCTTGATCAGAACTGTAGAGCCGCTCGGGTTCCGGATAACGACCGCCGCACCAACCTTGCCGTGACGTTTGCTACCATCGTACTGAAATCAATCAGCTCAGCTCAGCGTCCCATCAAGGGGTTGTGAGGGCTATCAATGCTGAAAATCTTGTTAAAAGTCGTTGGTGTAAGGAAGTAACCTTATAATTAGGCCTTATTTCCCCGAGGATGTAAGGCCTTATTGTAAGGGTACTTCAGATGAGAGCGAAGTTAAAAAAAAGTATGATTAACCCTGTTCAGGAAGCTTATAATTTTACTAAACAGATTTCTTTAATTTGGAAATTTTATAAAATCGTTAGAACTGGTGCATGGTGATTAAGATTCAATAACAATAGTACACCGAATTAGAGGGATTTTACTGCAAAAGATTATGAAAAAGCAAACTCGGATAATATATTTAATCCAAAAAAAGACATATGAAGGCAATGATGAAGTAAAAGTAAGGCTTAAGTTGGATATATTGAAACGTAATAAGAATATTATTCGTGTAAAATGAGGATTAACACTGTGTGATGTGGTGATACAGAAGTTTAAAAAATTTTTTTTATTGATTTATGATGTTTATTAATAGAAATAGAAATAATCTTTATTCAAATAAACTTAATATAGGCACTTTTGAATAGTCAAGTTTTTTTTTATTCTACCGCTTATTCGGAATGCAGATTCATCACAAGAAGAATAAGCAAGAAACTTGTGTGTTGCTCTTTTAAATATATATTGATTTACTTATATTTAATTAACAACAAGGATTAGGCATGCAACAATCAACATAGAAACCGCTACGCACTTAATCTCTGTTCAATCATATAACATTGTCAGCGCAATGAATTTTAAGTTAGACATTTTTTACAAAACATTATTATCATTTATAAATTCTTCAATTTTGTAATAAGCTTTTGTACAAAGAAAATATTTTATGACACATTTGAATTTTTTTGCTGGCAACTTGACTACAGACTCTGGGAGTTTGTTGTAAAAATTTACGCAATTTCCATAAAATGAATTACTGACTTTCGTCAAACGGCACTTAGGTAAAACTAGTTTGTTGACATTACGTAAGCTTTTATTAGTGTAATCACCTACTTTTTTAAAACTGTTAATGTTTTTCCTGGCATACATAATATTTTCGTAGATGTATTGAGAAGCAACGGTGAGGATATTTGATTCTTTAAAACATTCACGCAAAGACTCCCTGGAACCCATACCGTAAATGGAGCGGATGGCCATCTTTTGCAAAACAAATACTGTATTAATATCAGCTGCTTTGCCCCATAATAAAATACCGTATGACATAATGCTATGAAAATAGCTAAAATACACGAGTTTAGCCGTTGCCACGTCTGTTATTTGTCTAATTCTTCTTACCGCATAAGCGGCAGAACTAAGTCTATTCATTGCAGTTTGGAGTCTAATGTGATACCAAGAAATACAGTATCATCAACAAAGTTAATAAGTTTATTGTTCAGTACGTTGAGTTGAATCAACCTTCCTTACATTGAGGAGTGTAAATTTAATACATTTTGTTTTTTCTCCATTTAATAGCATATTATTAGCAGCAAACCATTTTAAAACAGAAGAGAGAGCACTGTTTACTTCTTTCATATCATTAATATGTCGATTAACTTTAAAAGTATCATCGGCAAATTGAACTATGTCTGCTATTTTTTCTACCATGTAAGGAAGGTCATTAATGTAAACTAAATATAAAAAAGAACCAAGAATAGATCCCTGACGAATACCCATTTTAACACTGGAACCTTCGGACCTTACACCATTTATTTCAACAATTTGCATTCTATTATCTAAATAGGATTTGATCATCTTTCATACCGTAATATTCTAGTTTGAGTAAGAGTATTTCGTGATCAACGCAATCAAATGCTTTTGAGAGGTCACAGAATACACCGATAGCATCCTAAGACCTCTCCCAACAGTCAAAAATGTGTTTCATTAAAGTTACACCAGCGTCAGTAGTTGATTTACCGGCCGTGAAACCAAATTGCCGGCTGTGAAGCAGTCTATTTGTTTTAAAGTGTTGAAGCATTTGATTGAGCATAATTTTTTCAAACACTTTACTTAGTACTGGTAAGATAGAAATGGGCCTATAATTACCTACTTCAGTTTTATCCCCTGACTTAAAAAGTGGCGTTATTTTACTATGTTTCATTAAATTGGGAAAAACTCCTTCAGAAATGCATTTGTTAAAAATAGTTACTAAATATGGAGCAAGAATGTTTATAGAAGTATTAATAACTTTAACTGACATACCCCAATGATCTTCCGTATTTTTTAAATTTAATTGTTTAAAAGCTTTCGTTATTGTAGTAATATATGTCAATTTAAATGTAATAGGACAAGAAACAATATTATCAATAAGAAATGATTTAGCTATACTTGGAGTTGATTTCAAAGAAGAAGTAATATTAATTGGAATATTGGCAAAGAAATTGTCAAATATATTTACAATATCTTTTGTAGACGTTATCAATTTATTATTCAAATGTAAAGTAAAATTATTACAGGCGGTTTTATTCTTTCCAGTTTCTTTATTTATAATATTTTTTATTCTGTTTTTATCTTATCTTTGGATTCTTTAATTCTTTTATTTAGAAAATTAGATTTTGCTACATTAAATACATTTTTAAAAGTTTTTGAATATTTTTTATATAATTTACAAATGCATTATCAAAACGGTATTCTTTTTGGGCATATAAATCAAATAATATATTTCTGCTTTTAGGAATACCCGTAGTAGCCTATTCTGAAAATTTTGTTTTCTTGCTAATACTGATGATTTTTTTGCTAAAATTTCTATTATACTCGTTAGAAACAATATTGAAGAAATCAGTATTAAGTTTGTTAGGTTTATGTCTAGATTGAAGATGGAAATTAAATTTACTTTGTACTGATGTTTTGAATGTATTGATCTTATAACCAGTTGAGTCTCGTTTTAATATTTTACTTTTATTGGTTTTATGTATTTTTTTGGGTAAATTACAATTTGACCACAGTGATCCGAAGGAAGATTATTTATTATTAATTTTTCTAAATACTCACTGTTGCTAAAACCATTATCTAAACAAGTAGCAGACGTGGCCGAAATCCGAGTGGGTTCGTGGAAGACATTATTTAAGTCAAAAGATTTAAATAAATGAATAAATTTAGTTTTGGTGGCACTATTTGATAATATGTCTACATTAAAATCTCCACACACTATAATTTTTTTGTTACTATTAAATAATCTCTTTAATATATCCTCCATTACCTCTTCAAATACATTATAATCACTATTAGGAGGTCTATATATACATATAAGTAAGTAATTTTCTAATTCTACACATGAAATCTGAATATGACAGTCTATAGAAAAATTAATAATATCAGTGCGTTCTTTAACTTTTATATTATTTTTAACAAATATCATAGAACCTCCTCTATTTACTAACTGTCTATTGAAGCAGCTGACAATATTATATTTGTTTAAGCTGAACATCATATTGCTCACCTTAAGCCAATGCTCAGTTAAACATAGAATATCAATATTATTTTTTTCTAGAAATAACTGAATAATTAATTCCCAGTCGGGAAAACTTTGTATGTTCTGATGAACAATTTTCAATTCTGATCTGCTTTCCCTTTGTCTTATTGAGCAGTTTAAATCTGCAGTCACATTAAAATTATATACAAAATTATTCCGACTGGAATCAGTCTCTATGTCACTATGATCATATCTCAAATTAAAGTTATGATTACTAGAAATAGTATTAATTCCATTATTACACCCCGTTATATGACTTATAAGGGGGTCTTGTATATTATAAGCTAGTAGACTAGCTACATTTCTTTTTTGTTTTTTAGGTAGATAAAATTTATCTCCAGTCATATAAAAGTTTGTAACAAATTTGTTACTATCAAAAAATAAAATGTCATTATGATGACATGTCATATTGTAAATTAAATTATTAATATAAGATATGATCTTATTTTGTTCAATAGTCAAAGAACGGGAGTAAGGAAAAGCACATACTATTATTTTACCTATGACCAGTTCAGCAATATTAAGCAAAGAGTTTATAGATTTTATTGCATGAGATTTCTTTACATTAATACAGCTGCCTAAAGCTAAGACTAATGTGGTCAAACTATCATACCTATCATTAACCACCTTATTTAAAATATTAAGTAATGACATACCAGGAAGAGAATTATTTATGACATGTTGGGATAGGCTTTCAGATAATAAGCAGCCCAGACCCTTACCATATCCATCAGAATAAATTATTGTCCTTCTTACCGGTGTGACCTTACAAAATGGAGTCACCATTTTTAATAAACATCATAAATCAAAAATTTTTTTTTGGCGAGGACCAACCCTAGTCATTTAAGGATATAAAATATATAAAAATCTATTCTCAGATCTACCGAGTAACATATAAAATTTCATCAAAATCGGTTAAGTCGTTTCATAGAAATATGGTAAAACACTCTGACACGAAAATTTTACTTATGTGGAAAATATTAATAGACATAAAATAAAACATTATATTGTTAGAATGTTTTTAGTGTAATTTTATTGTGGCGTTGCTTATATCCTTAAACCTTTATAGCTCTGGGATTGTATGAGTTTGCTCAGATAATTAGGAGGAACGCTAAAGACGACGTTAATAGATCTGTAAGATTGATGGGGCAAGTACAAAGAAAAACACGAACTCATGCATCAATCTGACACTGTTTTCGTAGAATTTTGCTTCGTGTTTCTTAAACGCAATGAAAATTAAAACGGCAACCCGCTATTTATGCATAGAGTTTGCTTTATATTTATTCTAGTTTATTTCTATAACGCGCTTATTCTAGAAGCTTATTCTAAAATTGTAAATCGAAAGTTAAGAGTTTTGTGTTTTGTTCAATAAAAATGTATTTCAATTTACTCACAAAGTAAATACAACAATGCTATTGTCACAATTTATTTAGTTTCAAAACAGTTCTAGGTGTTAGTGGATATATTCGATCTATTTATATTAAAGTGTACCAAATGGGCGGACTGGGATAGTGGCCATCCATTTTCTGGCTAATTGGGATTTAAGTATAAAAGAAAATTGCAATGGGCAGGTTATTTAAAATGTTTATTTGTAATTTCTTACATAATAAAAGACAATAGTAATATAGTTATTATAGTGTATATAGTTATTTAAAGAGGTAGAGTTTGTTCAAATATATTGGGATAATCCGGAATTCAGGAACTAATTTTATCTTATCAATCACAGCGAGAACGCCTATTCCATTGGTGGTATATCGGCAGGACATTAATTGAGATAGAGATGATTTATATGTGCCGACATAAAAAGGTATCTTTATATCAATCATCATGGTTTTGTTGTGAGCTATTCGTATATTAACACTTTCTGAGTGAATAATATTATAGAGAGAAGTAATATGACGAATTCCAGAACCTTAACGTTATTATTTATTTATATTATATTCTTTAATGTACCTCACACAAACTAAACTGAATGTTAATAAAAAAATATGTAAGTGTTTCTCTAATATTATTTTGAATATTATAAAATAAATACTAAAGAAATAACACAATTTTTTCACAGCCATGACGTCGACGGTTTAGAACACTATTTTACATCCGATGGTCGCGGGTTCGATTCCTGCACGGTGCAAACATTTGTATTCATGAGAATGATGTTTTGTATCGGTCTGGCTGTTTTCTATGTATATTATGTATGTATTTACAAAAAAAACTAAGTAGGTATATATATCACTTGTTTACTACACATAAATCAAGCTTTGCTTACCGTGGGATTAGATGTGTTTTTTATTATATAATTATACTGTTTTTCTCTCTGTTTAAAAAAATTAACTGATAAAATGATAAAACAACAATTAAAAAATACACAAAAATTAAATATGCTACATTCACAATAAAGAAACTTAAATGGAAGTGGGCGGGACATATCACAAGGGGAAAAGATAAATGGAGTAGAACATTAATGCAAAAGATATGAAAAGGAGAAGAGGAAGACCGTACAGAAGATGGATATATGATATCAAAGTGGTGGCAGGTGGTACTTGGGCAAGAATTGCTAACAATAGAGATAATTCAAGGTCCACTTTTTTTTCCTTTCCTTTCTTCCCGGATATCAATTTCCAGGATTTCTACTTTTTTAGGGACTATTCTAATATATCTATATATATATCTTAATTCCACAGTTTCCATTTTCGGACTTATTGTAATACTTTCTTACTTTCTAACTTATTGCTATTTCATTTTAATTTATATTTTGCTTTTTTCTCTATCCTCTATTCCTATTTGCTATCTTATTTTATACTTGTTCTATTAATTAACTGACTGTATAGTCACTATACATCATAAAATATGCTTACTTGCGATTGGTCTTTGCTACTTTTTCTATTATTTCTCTGGTGTACTCTATAAATTTTTCCCTACTTTTCCGATTTCTTACTATTTCGTCGTAATTATCTGTTTATATTCTTTCCGCTCCAAAGCGAGGGCACTGTGATATTATGTGCTGTAAAGTTTGCTGTGTTAATTAGTCACAGGGACACGATGGCGCCGCTCAGCACCGAAAACGATGCAGGTATGCCGCGAATCCTCCATGTCCCGTGAAAAGCTGTGCAGTGTAATTGGTTTTTTCTATTTTGCCGGTAGTTCTGTACGCACCGGCCACGCTTGGGAAAAACTTGTGACGGATGCTGTCTCGCCAGACCGGTACCTACTGTCCCACTCACCAATCGTCCGCTCTCTAATCAGGCGCTTGGTGTGTGAGATGGGGCACCAGTCGTCGACTTCTTCTTCGACCCCACCGCAGCCTCCTTGGCAAGATGGGCAGAGGGCAGACCCTTTTAGTTCCCTTCCCACCCCGCGTGGGCTTTAATCCAATGGATTGATATTGTTTTTCCTTTTTCCCTACATTTTCTGTAGTTTCTACGATACTCTACTGCTACGGGGTGGGAGCTTAACGGATTTGAGGCCGTCTGGAGTGCCGCCATGGGGTCGCTAAGGATGCCGATCGTGACTGCAGGATGTTCTAATGCTACCCCAATGGCTCGGCTTAGAGCCAGTAGACAGTGCAGTATGACGACAGAGCAAGTCTGAGGACCTAGATTTCGGCCGCCCTGTTCTATATTGACAGAGTTGCGCCGACCCAGTCCTCAATCTTGCTCCCGTCGGTGAAGATTCAATAGAGACCACTGGAGACAGTTGGAGGAGGCCTATGCTTGTTAGCAAACGTTAAATGTTAGGAAATGTAAAATGTAAATAATAATCTGAATAATGGCTTTATTATTATTATATACTGTTTTCCTCAGGTAGAATAGAGACAAATAAAAATTATATTTTTGACACCTCCGATCACAGTTTAGCAACTGTTTTATCTTTCAATTGGTGTAGATTCTATCTTGGCAAAATGCAAATATTTGGAACTGACTGTGCTAACTGTGGGTTTCTGTAATGCTATCAATACTGTTGATTTCGACATTTTGTTCAGTATGCAAAATTCTCTTAAAATATCTCGAATATTTATTGTAACCGTATATGACTGTTCATCTTAGTAGTAATAGTCTCCCGCCTATCAACTGTAATGGTTATGACCTTGAATACAGTGTCCAAGTAAACAACTCGTGCTCGCACATTCGCTGTTACTCGAAATTCTAGATTATGCAGAATTCTTCTATGTAAAGTATGTAAATTTCACTGAGGAACAACTTGAGTGTCACAAAATATATATATATATATATATTATATATATATATATGTATATATATACATATATGTATATTATACATATATATATTTGGTCTTCGTAAATATGACCATATATGTTAATTTCACAAAAAACATCACCAAGTGGCGTTCGTCGTCGCAGGAAGTGCCATACGCTATATCTCCTTTACACTATTCTTTTCTACTCTCATACTCCTGATTACTTGAAAAAGGACTTTTCTATACACAGTTCTATAGCAAAAATCCGGATTATAGATTACGTAGCACAAGAAACACCTAGTTAACTATCTCATTTAACTCTACTAAATGTTACACCACTATACAAGCATTTCGTCTATAGAACTCCTTGTCATTTCCCATTCGAGCAGCACCATCACATGCCTTATTTCAATATTTACTAAAATCTCATTACATCTACCCGTAATTGAATGACACCTAAATTTTCTATTGTGTTCGTCCAATATTTAGTATATGTATGTATATAATAAGCATAATGTGTAATTTTATGTGATAACACTGCTTTTTGTAAAACACTTAATGTTCTATGTTTATTCGTGCGCAATAAATAACTTTATTATTATTTTATTATTATTTATTTTATATATACGAGTACCTATCTACTTAAAATTGTTCTAGAGCAAGGATTTCGACAAGGACAAGTATGACGACCTCGGTGGTCTAGCGGTCAAGCACACCGCTTTACGTCCGATGGTCGCGGGTTATGAGTATGATTGTTTGTATCGGTCTGGGTGTTTTCTATGTATAATATGTATGTATTTAAAAAAAAAAAATATCTATGTATATGTATCAGTTATCTAGTACCCATAACACAAGCTCTAGCTAGCTTAACTTGGGTCTAGATGGCGCTGTGTGAATTGTCCTGAGATTATTATTATTATTATTATTTCGAATTTGTTTGTTTATCTGTAGTTCGAAACAAAGTCAAAATCTTATTGCCCAGCATTCACAGACCACGGCCATCTATTAAATACCTATCTACATAAAGTATATGGTATGAGAGGTCGAAGGGACGAAATTAGTTAGGATAGCAATTTACTTACTCTGTATTCCGATAAATGAATTAAAGTGCTAAAAGTTCAGTCGTGCGACGCTTATTTAAGACCTGTCGCATTGAAACAGTAAACAAGGTCCTTAATTAATAGAACGACAAGACAAACAAAATACGTGCTTGTTTTCATTAAGGGTTTGAGTAGATACCGCAATCAGTACCTACACGGCTGGGACGTAGTTTGCTTTCTCTTAAATGTGAAATTGGAATATGGTCTCTTGCACATTTAGCACGATACGTGTTGTGTTCATTTAGTTTGTAAATATTAAAATACGTGTAAATTCAAATAATTAAGATATTTCCTTACATATATTTTGAGTTTTATAATTCGTAGCAAATTTCTTCGCATGTCTATCATTGTAATATTATGTTATCTGTGCTATCACTGTATTTATTACTTTATTACAATCAAATATTTTTTATAATTCTTAATAAATTTATAGAAACGTCTCCGACCACCAGAACCATCAGCTCTACAAACAAATAATCAATAGTAATAAAATTCGAGATGAAATAATCGAAGTCTAAGACTGTTTAATTTATCAATAAGATTTTGTACAAGATGACTTGTCATAAAAAAAGATATTACTCGCCGACTGGTAGAGGCAGCTAGCGATTAGAAGTCTATCCTATACCTAGTTACGCTAGCGGATCGCTATCGCGATTCAGCAAAGCAATGCGGGCAGTCTCTTGGGCAATTTACCAGTCGGCTATGAGCTTAAAGATATTTTCTATTTGTAAAGAAATAATTAATATTATTTTTCATTTTAAAAGAACTTAGGTTCATTCGAATTTAGAACCTCAGTACATTCAAAGGTAGAATTACAGGACATTCGAAATACATTGATACTTTTAAGAAATAGGTAGTTAGAGAAAAGAATTACTAAAGGAGGAGTAGGAGAGAGGAGGATGGGCGTCCGCAACTTAACGCACTTGGAGTGAGATGTAATGGTAAAATTACAGTTTACACAGTTATAACATCTTAATCCTTTGGAATGGCAATGGATGAGCGGCAGGTACTATGAGGGACAAACAATGATATGTGGCTCTATTTGTGTTTATAGACGACGGTTACTATATACCAGCAGGTGAACAGTCAACGTATTTGCCATTCCGGTTATACAGAAAAATATACTAAAGATTTAGAAGAAACTTGAGAATAATCTTTAGTCAAATTTGAAAATATAAATTTGACTAAAGATTATTCTCAAGTTTCATTTATTTCTTTGTAAGACTATTACTAGTTGATATTTTTAGAAAAGCAATAAAATTCTAGTTGACATTGCAAATATTTTAAATCTTTTCAAGTGAGCGTAATAATGAGTAAACCATCTTGATTGGAGCGGTTTTTTAAACCGAATTTCGGGACCGTAATGTAAAAGTTTCTCTGTCTAATAAATTTAACAGTTAGTTAATTTATTTATACCTATATTATGATGGTTAACTGGGATGTACCTTCAGAGATCGTTTTTATTTAAGTACGCTTGCTTTGGGAATTCTTTTTATAAATGCATTCCATGTATGCACAGACAGAACATATTAAAATTACTATTGTTTTAATTATACTTATTTTACTACTGTCGCGTTTATATATACTAAACTTATGGATAAATATCTCATTTACCAAAAAAATATTCGTAGTTCAACCTGTTTAAGCTATATTAATAATTTTATTGATACAGAATTTAACATAATTTTAGCTCATATTAATGGTAGTAGTAGTAGCAGTTATAGTTAATCATCTGTTTTAATAAAATAGTTTTGTTCTAATTTCATTCTAAAAACGAAATAATAGATATTTTAATTAAGATTATTTTTAAGTAGGTACTATTTTGTCGTTACAAAGGTTAACAATATTAATTCTAGGTTATATTTAGAATATCAGGCCGAAATTTATCATATAAGATATTACTTTTATAGTCAGAAAAATAACGTTTTCCTCCTAATATCTATACGTATTTACAAGTAACTTCGTAATGTGCTTTTTCTTTTCGCTTCACTCCCTAGGTGGAGGCTTTTATTGTTTGTGATACAAGGCCGCAGCGCGATTCAGAAACATGCGGGTAATCATAACACTGAATCACCAGTCGTTCTCGCCACTGCAAAGGGCGCGTTCCCTGCCCAACCTCAAACCCATGCAGTACTTCATCGTAAAATTATGACTTTGGTACGTGCCCGATATTTGGGATGAGATAAGAATACCGTTTTATATGTATTCGAGTCACAAGAAATGAATTACGGAAAATATTAAGGTCAATTTAAAATATTGTACAGATCATGTATCTTCATAATATTTCTATAAGCATGTATCTATCTATATGTAACCAGCATTATAGAGTTCTACTACAATTAATATTAATGAATGATGCTTTATTAAAGTTTTTTTATATACTCTGAAACACTTCAGTATATAAAACTTGGGCATATGTGAGATTAATTGAAGGAGTTATAGATTTAGTTACCACCATTTTATCGATGAAATTACTACAATTACAAATTCTAGTGTTACTAGATGATAGTTAATCTTCTTATATGTATCTTCTTAAAGAAGTTGTTATTTATATACAAATTTATATATTTTTTAAAGTTGAAATCATCTACTGTTTTCAGCCAAATTCAGAAGAGACAGGTTCTCAATTATATACCTATGTATATATCTCCACCAAATGTGGACTGAATTATTAGTTTGACACGTTTGGAAGTAAGTTACCAGTTCTAAAGTAATACGGTTTTCCTACTTAATTATTATAGGAAGGATTTATTAAATAAAATACATAATATTAAATATGAATATTTTTCATATAATAATTTAAAATTTCTGACGTATTATTTCTGAATTCAAATCGCAGCTGAATTATATACATTGATTACACGCAAGAAATCAATAACTTTGTCATGACTAATAGTAGGTAATCGTTAAATCCTACATTTATTAAATAGTTATTTTGTGTCGTTGTTCGTATAAAATTATTATAGTATATCGTGACATTTGGCCCTTCATGGATACGCAAATAAAACTGATTCACATTTGTCTTTTGGTTGTTGCTTAGCTTTATTTAATCTAACCTTGGTGTCTTTACCCAGACTTTATTTTCATATTTTTAAACCAGTATGTGAATAGGTATGGGAAGCCAAGAATATATAACTTTGGTTATTCCTCTATGTTATTATATTTTATTTTTAACATGACTATTAATGATTTTAATAGCATCAGTTTCATTGTCAAAATTATGAAAAAAGTAGTTACATACTAAAATAAAGATCTGTTAACATATACTAGATGTTTATTTTATTATAGAACTAGTAGAGCTTGCAACTTCATACGCGTCTACAGAGTAAATTTTAAAGTTAAAATCATTTATTGACATAGATCCTTTCGGCATCTTGTGCACGTCATATTTTTTATCATTAACACACACAAACGTTCAGTTCGGATAACTACTCCAGATGAGTAGAACTGCAAGATACTCACCTACCTACATTTTTTTTGTTATTTTATATTTTTAGTCAGTTTCGATTTAATAATAAGTATAATCAAACGATAACAATAAATAAAACGACAGCCGTTGAGCCAATGAGGCCGTCTATTATTTGATTAATAAACTAGTTTCTAAAATTTTAGGTGGCGTATTAAAAATTCTCGAATACCTAATTTATTATTGTTTCCTTTGGCATATTTATCAACT